CAGCTTGATGACATCAACATGCGCTATCGCGATAGAGCGATATAGTCAAAATCTCTATCGTTGGCCAAATTTATATCGTTTCTATCGTATATCGCCCACCCCTAGTTTCAGTATAAAGTGTGAACTTGTCGCTGTAAATCACATGACTGACTTTTAATCTCATACACAGAAAAAGATGAAAATGGAGGTGGAGGAAGATGATGATGATGATGATGAGGAAGACGATGATGATGAGGACGATGAAGATGAGGAGGATGAGTGAGTGTCTGACCACACAAATGCTGTGAAGTCCTTAAGTTGCCGTCCTCATGCGAACAGATGGTAGCTTTACATCTTTCCTCCTCCTGCCTTTTGAAGAGCCAATGACTGTAGGAGATCAGTTGTTAAAGATTGCCAGCTCTGGGCAAAGCGTTATTTCATATTTGCGTCACTGCATTGCTGGTAAAAGAACATACCTCTGCTCATCTTACCGCCAGCATGTGTAGCAGGCTTTTGTTGAAAATGACCCCTTTTTTTTTCCCCAACCAACTCAAATTGTGAAAATAAAATTCATAGCAAAGGTCAGATGGCTTTTGAACACTTGTTCTGTCATGTTTTATAAGAGCTCATTTGTTACTCGCTAATAGCGTGGAAATAATGCTTAATGGAGCTTGCTTCATAACATGATAAAAGCAAAACAATCTAAAACTGGTTATATTTGTAGCCATGACAGTGTGCATAGTAGTTACTGATATTTTGAAACTAGGGAAAAAGTTTTGTGGTCCATGTCAGACAAAACCAAACCATGTCCATGCTACAGAGGTAGCCCTTCGTAAGGCTGTGTGATATGACCAAAATCTCATATCCAGATATAAGACATTTATCGTCCTGACAACAATATCACAAAAATCCTACGTATTCTGTGATTCTCGGGCAACTTGACTTGCAAGAAATGTTTTCAGCTGGGTGTCGTATACCTGGAGTTGAGTGTTAGATAAGTTGAAACAGCCACAATTTTCTTGAGTATCTATTACATGTTGTGCTACAGGGAAAAGCCTGTTCTAAGGTGTTTTGTTTTGGGGTTTTTTTGTTTTTTTTTAATAGCAACTGACGGCTCTTTTTAGCTTCTCGTCCGTAAACACTCTGCATACTATTTCACGGGTTTCCGTTTATTTTGAAAAATCTCAACAGGATATTCACCTTCATTGTGAAAGGTTTATGGGGGGGGTAAACAAGCGGATGGTGGAGCAATTGTTGTTGCTAACGACAACGCATAAAAGCAGTTGCTTGTCCGTCCATAGTGTGGTTATTTTAATATAGGAGAAGGAGAGAACTTTAAGAAATTAGCCACTACAGTGACCATCAAAAGTCCAACTTAACTGAATGCAACCATCTGGTACAATTATAGCTACTCTGAACTATGCAATTTATGAAAACTATGCAGCCCATTCAGCAACTGAAGAATTTGAAAGTAAATTAAAACAAAATATAATTTTACATTAAATAAAAAAGTTTTAAACTTAATTAAAATAAAACCGGTCTTCAATTAAAATAAGGAAACTGTCATGTTTATTGCTGCCAAAAAAGAGTTAAACACATTTGGACAGTGAAGGAATGTCAGGATTCTTGCTCAGAAAAAGGATCAACATGTCAGAGCACAAAAACCTTTTTTGTAACAAATATCGATTTCTGCTGTCCCTGTATCGATACATTATTAGCAAACAAAATATCACAATACTACACAATATTGATTTTTTTTTTTTTTTTTTTTTTTTTTTCTCCCCACCCCTAGTTTTCATATCATCATCTGATATCATTATATCGAACAGCCCTACTCCCTCACTCCTCCCTCATGTAAATGGCTACAGTGCCTTATGACTTGTGTGCATCTTTAAGTTGCATTTCTCTACTGGGATGGTGAGGACAACAGTTTGGAGCACTGTTGCTTTTAATCAAGCTTTGACCTTGCTGCAGGCAAGAGGTCAATTTGAAAAAGAAAAAAAAAAAGTTGAACTGCTGTTGCTTTAATCTTTCTCATTTCTTCAGGGATGATGATGATGAAGCTGATGACGACGAGGAGAGCATTGAAGAAGAATCGCCCGTTAAGGCAAGCAGATATCTTTATCGCGGAGTTTTAAATTGAAGCTTAATTTACACATGCTCACTCTGCAACTGACAGCTGCCCATTTGTTACAGGCCAAGGCAGCTCCAGCCAAACCTACACCATCCAAACAGACGCCATCCAAACCCAAAGCACCTGCACAGAATGGCAAGAGTTCAAAACCGAACACTCCAGCCAAAAACCAGGTAACAATGGTTTACATGAGCAAGAATGGCGAGCAAAGGCAAATATAATATTTAAAAATTAAATTCAACACTTCTAATGTCTAGACTTTAATTTATTTTTATTTATTTTTTTGCCCAATGTAGGAAAAGACACCTAAAGGAAAAGGTGACAAGTCTCCCAAAACCCCACCAACTCCTAAAGGACCTTTGAGTGTGCCAGAGATCAAAGCCAAGATGATGGAGGCAGTGAAAAAGGTTTGTTCTTGGATGTCCTTTGAATCTGTTTGGCATGATTAAAGTTGCAAATTGATTACATTTGTTTATATTTTTCCTTATAGGGAGTAACGTTACCTAAAGCCCAGCCCAAGTTTGAGAACTTTGTGAAGCATGGTCACAAGGTCACAGAGCCCAAGGTATACAACAAATTTCTATTGCCTGCTATTATAGCATTCTTTCTTAGATTATTGTGAAAATGTAGCTACTGGCCGTAATTTGATTTAAATGGAGGTGGTGTACTGGCATTTATTTGTCACGCCACTAGGGGGCATCAAAGTCCAAATATTCCAATCATAAGTAAGGAGGAAGTTGTGTTGCAGTAAATGGGAGACCATGTTGCATGAACCTGCTGTTTTTGACAACAATTTAAGTCAGCTGTTTTTATATATTTTTTTTTTTCTCCTCAGGTCATTGCAGAGCTGTGGAAGTGGAGGCAGGCATTGAAGGAATAACAGACGTTGCAGTTTTATCTATTTTTATAACTTGTTTATGCCCATAGCACCTCTTAAACCCTCTGAAGCCAAACTGAGTGCCTCACACTTGTCCTTAAATCGCTCTTTACATATAGTCCACTTCAATTTGCCCTCCTGGATGAAGAGATTGGAAAGGTAGTGATGGGCGGTGGCTGTGCAGTGCTGGTGCATAGTCCACCTC